CAGTTACTTGTACGGGGTAATTAATCACGAACAGTGTTATAATCAGTAAAAGATTTGTTACATTCCATCTCTTAGCTTCCGCATGTTAAGCTGACAGGATTCCATATCTGTCAACGTAACGCATGTCGACGGGATGGACTCTATAGATTCGATCTCTGATTGCTTTTCATGATTCATTCAACAATTACGAGTATCACTAAAATTTGATTCCGTAATTTAATTTAATATCGGGTGCTACATGATTGATGACAATTTATAATGATACCAATGACGTGAATAATACCATAAAAATTGTCGTTTAAAAAACAGAGAATCATAGTTGAAGGTTTCGTAACATACCAATCCCCGCACGTAATCGGTTTTATTTTCCAATTACATGTCACTGTTGTTCACAATGCGTCCCGAAATAATCTGAAAATCACCGGCGTTTAGGAGCATCATCATTCAAGGCCACGTACCCACAATCGAGGCGAACAAGCGTGTTCGATTAAACGGAAGAAGAAGAAGAAGAGCCTGTCCCATAGATTTTGATAAAGTCGAGAAGCATCAAGGGTCGAAGTGGATCAGTGCGGAAGGAAGGCGGCGACTACGGTGCAAGCACGAGAGATGCGAAGTTCGACACTTGCACAACACCAACGAAAATAGCACGACGAGTGGCTGACACCGAGGAACGAGCGAACGGAAGAGGAAAGGAACGAAAAATAAGCGGACGAGAAAAGCTTGTTGGGACTCACCTAGCTGAAAAAACGGGCTAAGCACACCAGTCCAGGGACACTTGAAGGAACCGTTTCGTAAAACCGCCCCCGCGATCACTAGGTCCTTTCACTACTTCCACGAAGCGATGGACAGATCGGATCGATCGTGCACTGGATAGAATCGTTTTCGCACCACTTTTGCGCTCGTGAACCCCGAATTAAATCCTCCGAGGCGAGGAGGAAGCCAGCCGGCGGCTATCTCGAGACTGCTACCAATGCCAGCCGCAACGCGTCCCGACACCCTCCACACTTCTCTTCTTCTTCTTCTTCTTCTTCTTCTTCATCGCGTGTGCCACACGTCGTCGTCTTCTTTCCTTTCTTTCGCCTACCACCTATACCCACGTCGCTCGCCCGGTCCGTCGCATGTTGTGCATCGTTATACACCGTCCAAAGATCGGCGTTCATCCACCGCTTACATTCAATGATTCACGAGAGTGTTCGAACGCGTGTAAGTGAAAATTGAAACATGAGGTGTATGACTACTATTAAACGCAAGTATTAGGACGGTACATAAGTCAATCGAATAATGATGTGGAAATTACGAAGCATTTAATATACAGAATGATAAGAATTATTTATATCTTACTCTATATTAATATTTAGTTGTAATATAGTAATATTTACTTTCGTTACAATTATTTCTGCAAGAAATTCTTTTTATTTTTTTATATAAAGTATGTCTTATTAATACTACATACTAAAATACAACGTGATGTACAAAAACACTTATAAATAGTACCTTTCTTAATCGACTGATATATCTATTTGCTCAAATATATTGAATATCTTATATATTGATAAACTTCGGCTATATAGTTCTAACGATCCACTACATATAACAATTAGAAACAATATAATGATAAATCACAGTAGAGTGGGATTTAACTATCTTTGGTAAGGCACCCTTTTAAGCAGGGGAAACAGGGGTATTAGAAAAACCCCTCATGTATATATTAACTAAACTGTAAATCGTCGTCTCATGCAATGTACAAAGTTTTCAATAATTTTACAGGCATGACCTGGAGATCCCATGTTATAGATGCTGGATTGTTTAAAACAAATTAGTTTAATTTATTTCCTTAATTCAAGCATGAAAATGGAAACGTTCGAATATTTCCGTGAGCTACTGTTGTAGGTCGTACGACACACCTACTA